TAAGCCAGAGGAAAGCTGCTCATCCCATAGTGCCCATGAAGCAGAGAGAGAAGGGAGGAGCCAGGGACAAGAATATATCCTCCCAGTGCTCATCAGTGACCTGCCCCTAACCAGGTCTAACCTCCTAGCAGCAAGTCAGCGATAGCATCCCCATGATCCAGTCACCTTCCAAAAGTTGCATCTCTGAACATGTAAGCCATTTGGGAGACACTGTAGATCTAAACCATAACAGTTATTGAAACTACATTGGTATCAATTCAAATTACATTATTTTAAATTTAGTGTGCTAATTTTAATTCCTGTGGTAGCCACTAAGAAAAATATATATATATATTTAAAAATATCCACTCACAACAATAAGAGGGAGTAAAATAGTGTACTGTAGGGAATCAAACACCCAAAACAGGCAATAGTGGAAGAAATGAGTAATAAAAAAATGGTGTAAGAATGTGAGAATGGGAATGGGAATTTTCTAGTTAAGAAGTTGTCCAGGATGCAAGATTTGCAAGCATGATTTAGACAGTCAGTGAAGAGACTGCTCATGGAGAAGATGAACACTTGCAGTACTGATCTGATAATAAATGGACACAATGGAAAAATGAGGAATATAAAAGGGCAATCCAGATAGTTATAGAGATGACAAAAAGTACAAGACAGTACTATCTGCCAATACATTTGAAAAACTGGATAAAAATATTTGTTTTGCCAAGCAGCTACTAAGTCAGGCAGCTTGAAACATGATACTATAAGAAGATAATATCTTACACTCAAAAGAGAGTCAAAGAAAATGGCAATTGTAATAACACATCTTCGATACAAGCAAGAAGGTGTTCAGAAGGCTGTCGCACACTCATCAGATCTACAGAACCAGTTGAATCATCTATCAAAATGAATGCCATTTAAGAGTGTAATGACACTTCTTTGCCTGATGATGAGAAGGAAATATTCTGCATAACTATTGTGCTGTGAGTTTGATTTTCCATTTTCATCTCAATACTAAGTTTAAAAATTGTGTTAATGTACAGTTTCTCCTGAAAAGAAGGTAGGGGTTGAATTTTGGAAGCATTTCTTAAAGGAAACTCACTTATGTTATTATTGAAATTTTAAGTTGCTATTTTTAATTTGACATTGAGGCAAATTTAAACATTTGATAAAATAATTTTGAAGGATTGAAATAATACAAATTATTTTCTTCAACCAAAATGGAATGAAGCTAGAATAGCACATAAATATGAAAACATTGGGCAACACATTCTTAACAAACCAATGGGACAACAAAGAAATAACGAAGGAAATTTAGATTCAGTTAAGAGACAAAATTGCAACATACTGAGATGTGTGGGACGGAGTGAAAGCAGTGTTCTGAGGGAGGTTACTAATGGCAAAAGTGCACATAGAAAAGAAGAAAGATTTGAAGTCAGTAACCTAACTTTACACCTCAAGGAATTAAAAACAAGAGCAAACTAAATCTAAAGCTAGCAGGAGGAAGGAACTAATACAAATCAGATAAATAAAATAAATAAAAGAAAGAATAGAAAAGTAAACAAGCAATGAAAACAAAAGATTTGAGGGGCTGGGGATTTAGCTCAGTGGCAAAGTGCCTGCCTGGCAAGCGCAAGGTCGTGAGTTCGATTCCTGGTACCGGAGAAAAACCAAAAAAACCAAAAAACGAAAAACAAAAGATTTGAAATATTTATCACAAATTTACCATAATTATGCAGATGTTAATGGAGGACGCTGTAGGTCATGGGAGGACAGTGCATAGGAAGTCTGTAGTGTTTGCTTAATTTTTCTCTAAATCTATTACTGTTTAAAAAATAAATGTTATTAATTAAAAGGTAAAACAAACTTTATTGCCGTAAATAACTTTTTGATCAAAGAGAAAAATAAAACTGTAATTAAAAAGTGTAAAATAGGGGTGAGGTTGTAGCTCAGTGATAGCACACGTGCTTAGTGTGTGTCAGTCCCTGGGTTCAGTATGCAGCACCAAAAACAAAACAAAACAGAACAAAACTGCCTCATCCTTCCAACCACAACTGTAAAATAATATTAATGTGAAAATGGCGTATGAAAAGTTATATCTTCAAAATGGCACTAAAAATTCGTAGCCTTAAATATTTCTATTGTAAAGTAAGAATTAAAAATAAACTAAGAATTCAACATGCAACTGAGAAAAGTAAAATAGGCTAAAATGATATTCAGTAAATATTAATAAAGATAAAAGCAAAAATTAATTATTTAAAAGAGAAGAAGAGCTAATGATAAAAGTGGTGCACGTAAGACATCCACTCTGTGACACGTCCAGTCAGGAGAGAGAAAGAAAGTGGGAGGGGGAGAAGATGGAGAAGAGAGGGGAAGGGAGGACATAAATGGACAAAATGAGTAATAAAAAGGATTATTCATTTAGTTATGGAGATAATTTATGTACAAGATAATACTATGTATGCCAATATATTTGAAGAACTTGATGGAAAGAATTGTTTTCAAGCAAAAAATAATTCAATTGTGTGAAAAAATCATAAACTTGGCTAGATTGATAAAAGGCATTGGAAAACCTTTTAAAGAATTACTTCCAGAAGAGAGTACAAAGGGCAAGTGGAGTTATAGATTTCTTTCTTAAAGTTTTCAAGGGACAGATAACATTGCTAAACTTTATTTTAGAACATGGAAGATTTGGGCATTTTTATAATTTCACTTCCTGAAGCTAACCTAACTTTAATAAGTAAACCCATCAACAATACATTTCCAGAAAATAAAAAATACTTTTAATTTCACTTGTGACTAAGAATGCAAAAGTTCTTAGAGGTTAAAAACATTTGTTTTCCAGCACACTTTTTTTTGTGTGTGTTAAGGGTTGAATCAAGGATCTCACGCATGTTAGATAAGCACTTTACTTCTAAGTTACATCCTTAGCCCTTGGTGCACATTTTCTTAATACAAATTGTATATAAGATTATTCAGTCTGGAATCATATTTATATGTAAAATCACATCATAATTATAAACATGCCTTTATTACAGAGATAACCATGTTAATAGGATGATTTTTGATAATACAGAATTTTTTAAAAATATTACTGTGTTCTGTCATAGCAGCAAAATCTTTTGTCTGAAGTAGAGAAGCCATGCAGTTGTTTCTAATGATATTAAAAGATATTGAATATACTTTAACCTGAAGTCTCTCTCCCCCTCTTAACTAGATTTTTAGCATTTGGTAGTTATTTTTTTATTGTAAGTATATCTGAAACCAACAGCCAACGTCATTTTAAAAAATGTTAACCACTAGGGAAATTCTCACTGAGGTCAGAAGTTAGACAAGGTTGACAGTTCTCTCTTCCGTTATTAAACCTCATTCCAGAAATTCTGGCCAATGCCACGAGGTGAAGAGGGGAGGAGACACATTTATATATTTTCCATCTGGGAATCACATGTGAATTACTCAAAATAATTTAGAAAAATATGAAATAGCTTGATGGAAGGTAGAATTATGAAATCAAGAGGCTAGCAGGAATTGGTTAGAAAATATAGTAGAAAGAATATCCTATCAAGATAACACCCTACTATACATGCAAGAAGATAAAACAAAGTATATTGGGATACATTTTACAATAAATAAATAAATTATGTTCACTGAGGCTTTAATGCACGCAAAGATGTGGGTTCACAGGCAAGAAGGTTCTATATTATAAAGAACCTTCAATTCGCTCAAGTTAGTCCATCAGTTTCATGAAATTTCAATAGGAAATTTATTTCAGGGTAATTTAACAGATTTATTTTGAATCATCCAGGTAATCATTTGTTTTATTATCATACATGTTTAAGACCAATAACTGGACATTGCTGTAGAGCTCCAGTTGGCTGGTGGGCAGGAATCTTAGGAAGGTTGGACCAAAAATAAGGCTCTGTATTCCACCACAGGCAAACTCGTGTGTCCAACTACACTCACAGAAGTGTGCCCTGGAGGGAGTGATGGCATGAGGGTGGGCAAATGAGAAGAGAGATGGTTTCTAGAAATGATGTAGTTATTTTATGGCCTTGGTGAAGTCAGCATCTTTTTCTCTATAATATCTATAATGTTGTAGTTTAAGCAAGACAACTGATGTTTTAGAATTGTAAGAAGGTAGGACAGTGATAATAGAAAGCCATGGAAAAAGAAGCAATGTGAATTTATATCTGAGGCTTTCCTGGCTCTGCCATTTAAGAGTTGGAAGATCCTGTGATCATTTTCCTTCAGCAGGCTCTCAATAAATGATATCTATTAATATAACAATATAGATAATGGATTTTGATATTTAATCTTTCTGAACTATTAATGTTTGTAGGATTACTTATAAGAAAATACTAAAAAATATTAATATTCACTTTTGGTTGTAAAAATAAAAGGGCCAGTTAGTAATAGAATGAGACTAGATTACTATAATTCTATAAATTTAAATGTTCTAAAATGGGAAGTTCAGAGTTGTGTATAAAGTTAATACTTTAATGGAGTGAAAGATTCATTATCATGTATTTTTTAAGAAGTACAAAAGTACTAAACTTGAGTTAGTGTTTGAATAGGCACACTGGATCAGTTAGAATTGATTTTAAAAAATAAAACCAAAAATATGAATATATACAGAATGAATTTACTTGCCCATCTAATAAGATATATACAACTTAACATAAATCAAATTTCTTTTAATCTTATATTATGTCATAAAAATCACTCATTGGAGAAGACTTATGTTACAGACATAAACTTTACAAACTTACTCCTGTTAGATTCATTAAATTTTATCTTCAGATTTAGCAAGAAATTTAAAAGATCACAATATTTTAAGTTCTCCTTGGGTCTTGGCCTTTTTTTACAGCCAAATTTCCAACTATGACAGTGAATACAAAGCCATTTTTAGATTCTGTCATAAATTACTCAGCAAATGCAGGAATGGAACAAACCCGCAATACTTAAGACATCTAGACCACCTTGCTAGGAATCAATAGGAACCAATAAAATTTGATTACCTCTTTTTCAGGTGTCAAGTCTTCCTTCACAGATTATTTCTTTTTAAAGATGTAGGCAGTTACACTTTCTGGAAGCTTTGTACAGCCTGTTCCAGTGCTGCCCAGGCTGTCCTAAGCTCTCCCTTGTGTTGAACTGGGAACTTCTACTGAGAAATCCCCTGTCTTGAGACTTCCTTTTTTGTAGCTATCAACAGCCAATCGTTGGCAAGATATTGAAATGAAGCAAAAACTACCAGAAAATGTTCTGTAAACCACCCATGACTGTAACCCTGACTTCCTTTTGAAGCAAAAATACTTTAACCTGACTAGTTAAGGCATTTTAACAAAAAGCTAGAAATTGAAAACACAAAAATAATTTTGGAGGAAGCATGTTTTCATGTAAGGCCATTTAAAAGTAAGTTTGTTTGATAAACGGTTTTTCAGTCACTTTTTGACTTAAGCAATATATTTATAAACAGCAAGCAAAGTCCAAATTTGAGTTCAGTCCTTGTTTCATGGCTTACAGAAGCCATTTGGATGGCATCTAATAAAAATACTTTTTGCTGGATTCCAGAGTCTGATCTTAGGTGCTTAGAAGAGGAGTAATGCAAAGAAGGATCTTAAGATATTTTTTTCTGCTTTGAGAACTAAGGTTCATTGTTCATGTTCTAGCACACTGGGGAGATGCTTTACAAATGCATGTATTTGTCGCAGGCTACTTGGAGCAAAGCATCAAGTTTTACATGCAAATAGAAAGCAGCATGTGCACCACAGACATTTTTCTTTGTTATAAAATTTTAGAGCTAGAAATGTCCGTAGACACCATCTGTTCCATTTCCTTTTTATTACAGATGAGGAAACAGGAGAGGGTAAACGCTCAGTGTAACAAAGAAAGTTAAAAGCAATCTTCAGATTACAATCTGAGCCTTTTGCATTCAACTTTGCTTTTGTATTATGATTTTGGTGTAGCAAGTTATTTGAAATGGAAAAGGAGTAAAGCAGTTGAGTGATCTTCTTGTTCAACTCCTGCATAATCCAGAAGAGAAGTGTGAGGGGGCCTCACCCAAAGTACCAGTGATTCAAAGAGCTAGAATTTCCAGCTCTGCTTGTTTAGCACAGTTCCTTTTCTATTTGAAGCACTGCCTTCTCTTAAATTATATCTTAAATAAATATGAGATGGTATTACTTATGAATTATTCTGTAAAAATAATTTAAGGAGTATGTATTATGCTGAGTAAGCTTGTGAATAAAAATGTTCCTTTTACTCATCAAATATACAATTATTAAATTTCTTTTAGGCCCATGTGTTTGTAACTGTCTTACTGATGAAATATCAAACCTTAAATGTAAAAATAAGATCTATTTAATGCTTCAAAAATAGCAAAACAAAGCAACACAACAAAAAAATGAGATCGCTACTGGCAAAAGGAAAATTTACTTAAGAGTTACATTTGTGAATCATCAGGGTTTTCTTTTTAAAACAGAAGCACTCCTGTCTTAACTGAAAAATGCACCTTTCGTTGGTCTTTCTGTTCTCATCTTCCCTACAGTCACTTTGGCAGTTGAGCGTGGCAGGCACCCAAACTCCTCAAGGACTGGCTATTCCTGAGGACGTTGGCCTCAGCCTGGCAAGGTATTGCTTGAGAGAGGCTCCTGAAGCCATGACAGAGAAGCTAAAGATACTTTTAAAGAAATTCTACCTGAGTACATACAATTTAAAACAAATGCTACTGACCAGTTTAGGCTGTAGGTAAAGAATGGGAGGCAGACTGACTTTGTTTTAAAAAATCTTTTTGTCTCTAGTGGCTTCTCTTCCTGCTCCCGGTCCCCACCCACATTTTTCTTCTCAAAGTCATAAATCTTGGGGTCAGGGCTGATAGAAATACCGAAATTACTAGATGAAAGAAGGAGGAAACAGACACCAAACCAGGATTCACATGATTTAGTGCACAGCGACCAATGTGCCAAACCCGTGTGTTGAAGGGCAGAAGGCAGATTGCCCTTCAGGCAGACGTAAATGGCTAAGGAGGCTGCTAACCAAAGAATGAAGAGAGTACTGCCCCAAAATAGCAGGGTTCTTGGTGCAGGTCTGGCTGGAAGGCTTTCCTAAGAAAAAAAACCTCTATAGCATTGTCTTCTGGGGAAAGTGGAGGGCAAGAAAGCCAGGTCTCTTGATTGCTGACTGGGACTCAGGAACGTGCTCCTTGCTGAAGGAGGGACACACAGCTACTTGTGGCCAAGAAACTAGATTTGCAGTTTGGTTACATGGGGTGGGTGTTTCAGCAAGTAGGTTCAGATGATCAAAATAAGCATCTGCAGGATGTTTCCATGCTCTAGGCATGGCATTGCTGTGCTCTAGGCATGGCATTGGTGAACACAGCAAAATCATCCAGATCCTCCTTGCTGGTGGGGTGATGCTGCAGGATTTTGTTGGCACATGGCCATGACAGGGTTGACCTAAGACATGAGATCCCATTATAAGTTGAGGACTGGGGCTGGAGATATAGCTCAGCAGAGCAGCTTCTGCCTGGCAAGAGTGAGATCCTGAGTTCAATTCTCAGCACAACAAAAAAAAAAAAAAGAAAAAGAAAAAGAAAATTGAGGACTGGGACTGCAGGGGTGGTGAGTATTCTTTTTCTGCCTCCTCAACCTATACGAACTGTGCCCTTTGGAGAGTACTGATATTACTGATTTTCAACTTACCACAAATTTATGCCAAAGTATTGCTTCCTTAGTGGGGATACTTGCATTTTTGTTTTAATTTTAAAATTAAATGGAATTTCTGGTTATAGTGAATGGATGGTGGAAATAAAAGGGAGGCCAGAGTGGAGGAAATGTCTTTACTCCTCACAATTCATGAACTGTACCTCAGTTAATGATTGGTTTGATATCAGTAGGGACATGTAGTTGGTATGTTTATTCAATTATGTGTTTAATAAACGTGTATAACCTATTATGTGTTAGGTTCTTTGTTAGGGTGCAGAGGTTACTGAAATGCTCTGCTGGTTTTTGAAGAGCTTATGATCTTAAGGAAGAGACAAATGCAGACGATATTTTATTCTGCTCAGTGACAAAGATGAAAGTAGAAATACACATAAGGTGGCATGTGGGCAGAGAGGCAGTTCTCAGGAGTAGAGCTACACGTGATGAGATGCTTAGATACCCAGGAAGTGAACGAAGAAAAGGATCAAGGATTGAAAATTGATTTTATACCCCTTTCTATATTCTCAATGAATTCACTCTGATTCTTTCAAGTTAAACATATGGCTTTTTGTTTGTTTCCATATCTTTATAGGTAAACATTTTCTTTAAAACTGAATTTTTTAGCATTATAGAGGATTTTAAAAAATAGTTTTGATGGTAGATGCCATTTTAATGGTCTTTGTACCTATCCTTAAAAAATGAATCTGTAAGGTACAGATTAAGATGTACTTTAGGCCTATTATTTTTGAAAATGGGAGTAAAACAAAAAAACAGGAGCATGGATTTTCCAATACTCTGCCTTAATTATATAACAGTTATATATTTTTGCCTATCAAGAAAAGAAACACAATGATATATGTTGAAACAAATGTTGATAAAACCAAAATCCAAAAATATCTTGACAACTCAAATAATAGGCTGATGCCAACATAAAATTTAACAGGAATAATTATAACATTGTCTGGTTACTGCTTCCCTTCCTACCACCATCCTACAAAAAAGCAAACAAACAAATGACAATAACAACAATAAACAGGAAAAAAGTCTCATGAGCCAGAAAGGATTGATGAGATACAACTTAGTAGTAGTCAGGTAAAACTGACTGGAGTTTTACTTGAGGCAGTGATATGCAGATGCTAACAAATCCTAGGACTAATAGACCTGACATTTCCTGCTTCGATGGGGGAAGTGCTAGCCCTGCTTTCTGACCCATCTTTCTGGGTACCACTCTTTAAGATCAAATATTAAGCAGTTATCAAATATCCATCCATGTTATTTGTGTGTGATTCCAGGAATGGAAGATATTTAGTTCAAATAAAATGGGGAGGAAAGGACTGTATTCAAATAACAATTTGAATTTTCCTCATAGCTTCAAAGCAGGCCTCAGGCTACTGAATAAGAATGATAGGAGCTGGGGATTTAGCTCAGCGGCACAGCCCCTGCCTGGCAAGCACAAGGTCATGAGTTCGATTCCTGGTACCAGAAAAAAAAAAAAAAAAAAAAAAAAACAGAAAAAAAAAGAATGATAAAGAAAATACATTTCGGTTCATTATAGAAAGATCAACATTCCAATAGTCAGAAGATGAGATAGGTCACCTTGGGAGGTAATAAGTTGCCCCTTCCTGGGGAGAAAATATCAAATACTGTATGATGAATAATTATCGTTTGGGAGCCTTGAAAGGGGATTTACATCTCAGATGCAATAATAATGAATAATGTCTATATGGCATTCTGGTCCTAGAACAGTTCTAAATACTTTATGTATATCACTTTATTTAGTCTTGATAAGTACCTGATGAAGAAAGATAGAAAATCTAAGGCATAAAGAAATTATTCAACTTGATATAAAGCTACTAGACAAAAACCCTGGCATCTGTGTCCAGAGCCCACGCTCTTAACAACTTTACTATAGTGCAGTCGGCATATCTATCACGTGCTTGAATGTGGATTCTCTCATTATCTGATAGCATACAATTTTAGAGGTGAGAGAAAAAAAATCAGATGTTTTTCTATTATTCTATTACATTTTACACTGTGTTTTGGGAGCTTACAGCTTGACAAGAAATTAATAAACTGAGACTATATCACCATTAATCACTCACTGTTCATTACCTACCAGTTTGGTTTTCGGATGAACATTTAAGAATAGTACAATTGAACACAGCAAGAGGGTGGTGAGGAAAAATTGGGGGAATGCAGGGTGACGTGAAAGGGAGCTTTTATTGAGAATGGAAGGAGCAAATTATACTTGCTGCCTTCTACTCAAGTGATAATTTAGGAAAATAGGACAGCCTTGGAGCAGGTTCATTACCATTACTCAAGGAAAATGACAGTGCACATTTTGTTCTGAAGGTTTACTCATCCTTCATTTTTTCTGTTTCTAATTTGTTGTGTATAGTAAGTTTTATAAAAAATACATGGTATTTTCCATAGGGTACAAGGTAAAATAT